AATCTATAGCTTGTCCATAGAGGATCATTACATGCATATTAGGAGTGTTCTTCAAACATTAAGGGTTGCATCTTTATTTGCCAATAAGGAAAAATGTTTATTTGTTATGGAGCAAGTAGTTCTCTTAGGATTTGTAATAAGCTCCAATGGAGTCCAAGTCGACTCTAATAAAATAGTTACCATTAGGGATTGGCCCACTCCTCAAAACATCAAAGATGGTAGGAGTTTTCATGGGCTAGCTATTTTATAGACGTTTTGTGCCTAACTTCTCTACTCTCTCCGCTCCTTTAAGTGATATAGTAAAGAAAGATGTAGGGTTTCAATGGGGAGATGAGCAACAAAAGAGTTTTCAAATCTTAAAAGATAAGTTAACTCATGCTCCCATTCTAGCCCTTCCTGACTTTTCTAAATCATTTGAAGTTGAATGTGATGCTTCTAATGTAGGCATTGAGGTTGTTCTTCTTCAAGAAGGGCATCCCATAGCTTACATTAGTGAGAAGTTGAAAGGAAGTCACTTAAATTATTCCACCTATGATAAAGCACTTTATGCTCTTATTCGAGCTTTGCATACTTGGCAACATTACTTGATTTCAAAAGAATTTGTGATCCATAGTGATAATGAAACTTTAAAACATTTGAAAGGTAAAAGAAAACTCAATAAAAGACATGCCAAGTGGGTGGAGTTCTTAGAACAATTTCCTTATGTTATCAAACACAAGCAAGGTACTTCAAACATAGTGGTCGATGCCCTATCTAGAAGACATACTCTTTTGACTACTTTGGAAACTAAGTTTCTTGGGTTTGATAACATCAAGGAGCTATACCAAGATGATAGTGACTTCTCCTCCATTTTTAACTTATGTTCCCAGGGGCCACACAAAGAGTTTTTCATAGATAATGGTTTCCTTTTCAAAAATAAACGCCTATGTGTACCCAAGGGATCCTTAAGATTTCTTAATATCAAAGAAGCACATGAGGGTGGTTTAATGGGTCATTTGGGGTAGCAAAGACTTTAGACATACTACATGAACATTTCTTTTGGCCTCGCATGCATAAACATGTAGCTAAGTTTTGTAGTCAATGCATCCCTTGCCAACATGCTAAGTCTACCACCATCCTCATAGCTTATACATCCCTCTTCCGGTCCCAAGTTCACCTTGGGTTGACATCTCTATGGATTTTATTTTGGGTTTACCTAGGACCAAAAGAGGGATATTCTATTTTTGTGGTAATGGACTGATTTTCTAAAATGGCTCATTTTATACCTTGCCACAAAATAGATGATGTTCTAAACATTGCTAACTTATTATTTAGAGATATTTTCACTTGCATGGGTTACCCAAAACTATAGTGTCTGATAGAGACTCTAAGTTCCTTAGTCACTTCTGGAGATCTTTGTGGAATAGACTTGGCACTAAACTTTTATTTTCTACCACTTGTCATCCACAAACTGATGGTCAGACAGAAGTTACCAATAGAACTTTAGGTAAATTATTACGATGATGTATTGAGGGAAACCCTTGACAGTCGGAGGCATTACTACCCCACGTTGAGTTTGCATATAATAGGGTAGTTAACTCCACTTCATCATATTCTCCATTTCATATTGTCTATGGTTTCAACCCCCTCACTCCATTGGACCTCCTCCCCCTTCATGACTTTGACTTTATGTGCATGGATGGTATTTCAAGAGCCCAATTTATTAAAGATTTGCATAGTCGAGTCAAAATCAAAATTGAAAAGAAAAATGAAAAATATGCTTCTCATGCAAATAAATATAGGAAGAAAGTCACCTTTTCTCCTGGTGATTGGGTTTGGATTCACCTAAGGAAGGATAGATTTCCTTCCCAAAGGAAATCCAAACTCAATCCAAGAGGAGATGGTCCCTTTCAAGTCCTTCGTAAAATAAATGACAATGCATATGAGATTGATTTGCCCGATTCTTATCATGTGAGTACTTCCTTTAATGTGGCTAATCTTTCTCCTTTTGCAGGTCTTCCTGATTCGTGGTCGAATCCTCTCCATCCCAAGGGGGATGATGTGATCATAGATGGGGCACAAAAAGAAGAAAATAGAAGGGTAACACGAAGCATGACCAAGACCATCTCCTTGCTTCTTTACTCCTTCTCCTAAAAAGAGTAGTATAGGATTTTGGGCTTGTATTCTTGGCCTATTTACATGTTCTAGCTTGTTTAGTTCACCTTAGATTAGTTTTTGTTGTCTTAGTGTTTTTTGGGTTTATAAACACTTGGGAGAACAAGTAGTGGGGAGATGTGGGCCTTCCCCCTTGGTTGCTCCAAAGTGCCACATTTCCTAGCTCATTCTCACTGCTTGTGCTCCCAAACCTATGAATAAAGTCCCTACTACTCTTGTATGGACACACTTGAAATTGAATAAGAATTAATTTTTGCCTTTTAAAAACTCTTGAGATAGAGATTATCTCTTAGTTGAAATTTTGTGATCTTATCTTGTCATGAAGCAAGTGGCGATCACCATCCTTCACTTATCTTGGAGTTTCTTCCAAGTGACGTGAACACCTTCCATAAGTTTTCTTTTTTCTCTTCTCTTCCATTTTATCAATTTTTTCCTTTAATTGCTTAACTTCCTCTTTATGTTTCCTCTTCTCTCTTTTAATTTCTCTACTTAAATTGCAGCCTAACAAAAGGTGGTGAAAATGATTTTTACATTCATCCTTAAAAATAATATAAGACAAATGTATTATGTCTCATATCCAACATTTTGGAATCTTGGTTGGTAAGAAGAAGAAGAAGACATCCCTCTCAACAAGTAGATGATAACTCATAAGTGCAAAATATGATGATGATCAACTATAGGACAACTTATAACCACATTTCTCCAAACTATTCAAATTATTTGTTGTTGATTACTATATACATTCATTGTGTTCTTAAGCACACTATGTTCCTTATGATATTAATTGATTATGTTACCTAAATTTTTAAGTTAATTAATATATGAATTTGTCATTGTTCAACTATTTTTTTTCAGTTGTTGTGCATTATTTGATTGATTTAGATAAGTATTGTGACTGAGAATTATTAATTATCAAAAATACTCATTAACCAATAGATATATCCTATTACCAACGGATTTTGGACATTAGTAAAAAGCTAATTTTCTTGTAGGACAAGAAACTATCTTCTATCCTTTATATGAGGGTAAAACTCTTCTAATCTCTTCAAACTTTTATTGGTAAAGCCTAAAGAAACATAATAAACATAAAGAGCTAAGAATAGCTAGCAATAAAAAAGAAACTCATGCTTTATCCCTATGATAGTTAAAAGTTTGCTAGAAATATTGTTTTCTACTCGTTCTAAGTTAAAAGTGATAATAAATAATATCTTATTATACTATAATTGGTTATAATAGAACCCCCATAATTTATTAAACAAAAACTTGTCATAGTTAAAATAGAATAAATTAGTGAAGAATAAGTATTACATTTTGTTATCTTGATTTTTAGTCTACTTAATTTATCTTTTAATAATAATTTAAAAAAATCCTGATAAAATAATTAAATTATACAATTTTGTATTAATATTAATTTTATATTTTCATAATTTTTTTAAATGAAAAAATATAATTTTTTTAAAATATAAAAAAGCTTAGATTATTAAAACACTTCAAAGATGTAAATCTATTCAAAATTTAGGAAGAATGTAAATAGCATTTTATTAAAAGTATGATATATTTTTAAAATTAAAAAAAATGTAAAAGTTATTCGGTATAAGTGTAATTACAGTATAATTTTCGATTGTGTTTCACTACCCATAATTTTGTGATAAGGAATTCTCAACTATAAACAGTGTTGGTAACTCTTCTCACTTGACGTTTTTAGTACCAAGAAAGCAACACGGATTCTACTATTGAAATGAAGTATCTTAGGGGTCAATAAATGATACATTTGAACGACTGCAACGAAATGAGGCATCTCAAATTCTCTAATTAAGCTCAATATTCCCTAACTATATTTATTTTCTCAAAGTTTGGATTTTTTTTTTCAACTCAATCAATTATAGTTAAAAAAAAAAAAAATCTAGCTGACATTAAAAAATATCCTAATCGATAAATTTTTTTCCAAAACATTATTTAATTAAAAACAAATCCTAATAGCCATTGGCAAAAACAATACCAAATGAAACTTTTTATATATATATATATATATATATATATATATATATATATATATATATATATATTATTTCACATCATCAAAGAAAAATTATAAAATCTCTTAAAAATCAATCAGATTTAGAAATAAATAATCCAAAAAATATTAATACAAAAATAACCTTTATCAAAATTGACTAAAATATTTATATTGACTGAAAAACAATCATGTAAACGTCAATAAAATAACCTTTCCAACTGTAACTAAAAATAACAATGAAGAATATTAAGTAAAAGAACCATAAAAAAAATCAATAGAAAGTGATATCAAACCGAGAACGAATTAAAAATATAAAAAGAATATATAATTTAAGAAAAATATTTTATATATATATATATATATATATATATATTTTTTTTTTACGTAAAATTTAAATGTAATAAACTATTCTAAATTACTAAAATTTCATTTTTTATATAAAATATTTCAAATTCCCTTTTCAAACATCTTTTTTATTTTTTTTTATAAAGTATTTGCGAATTCTTTTTAACAATAAATTGCCCATGAAATTTTCTATCCAACATAATATTAGAGTCCATTATTATTTTGGGGGGCCAGATGTTAAATACCATTTTTGCCAACAGAAAGGAATGTCAACAATCAATGTAAATAAGACTTAAAGTGAGAATTCATTTATACCTATTTGATGTTTCTGTTCATAGGTAGATGAGACTGGGGAATAGGAGAAACAACCATATGAAATGGTGAATTTTACGCAGACCAGAGATATATGGAGGCTGGTAAATCTTTTACATTACATAAAAAAGCTGTTTCTGCTACAGCTCTCACTTAACTTAGATTAACGATTCTAACTGGACAAAATCTGGTAGCAATCAAGAAAAATGACGAAAGTCAACCAACTATACCCTGTATACACTCACTAATCCAAAAATCTTATGTACTGATACAGTTTCAGAGATGATAATCAATGACCTCAACTTAATGAACCTCCATACAAAAGCGGAAGTAGTAAAAAGCTCAAGTCACTGTGGTTGGCAGATACAAGATGTTGAGTGAAATATTACTCCATTGACAGAAAGAATTACATACCACATGACTAACTTAAAGTCTGCAGACACCACCTGCATTGCTGATTTCATTAGTCCTATACATAGTAGCCTCTTGCCATCTTCCCCAAGTGTACAAGCCCATAGATATATAATAATGCGGAATTCATACATGATGAACTCATCAATTGCAGGTTCCTAATTATAAATCTTTACTGGCTTCTCAAACGTGTGACGATTCTGAAAACAAAACCCACGTAATTTTGAATAGAGTAAATAAAACGAAGTTTTATACCCTCAAAACCAAATAGTACCTGAGGAAGGCTTGCTCGTAAAAAAATTCACTAACCTGGTTGACAGCATATGATCTTTTAGGAGCATTGTCAGTATGCTCCAAGCCAAGATATTGCTCCCAAGCACCATAAACATCTCTTCTCTATCAAAACATATTTAAACATGAATACAGTGGTAGAAATTTATGTAAGAAAAATAATTACAATGAAAATTCAATCAACGCACCTGAAAACGACTGGATACAATGTCAGAATCTTGAAGGTATTCCGGACGCCCTAGTGATAGAAAATGCAAACTTCCACTGGACAAACGAGAAATAGATTAAGAAAAAAAAAAAAAAGCAGTTAGGTGAACTGAAATCAGATGATATACTCAACTTTATGTCAACGAAACCACCAAACAAACTAATTACTCAAATAGCTGGACAAGAGGTAATACCTTGGCAAACTCATCATCAGGAACTTGAAGTTTCTTCTGTATTCGCACTTTAATTTCAGATAGAGTTTCTCCTTCATGTATAACCAGAAAAAAAGGTTCCCCGAAGTTTTGAATTTGCTGAATTTTGAAGGAAAAACGAAAAATACAATACTTGTGTCATATACAATTATAATAAAATAAAAATATCAATTAAAACTAATTACCATTTGGTTTTGAGCTGTGTCTTTGTTGAAATGGTACACATGAATTAGACGATCATGAGGACCAAGATTTTTCTCTTCTTCTGGAATCTATTATATTTGAAAATGATCGACCATACAACTGTTACAATTATTTTGGGAGAGAAATTGAACAAAAATATAATATTATGGTATATGTATAAGAGCCAGGTCGTGTCATCATTTGAACAATAAAAGCAGAATACTTCATGACACTAAATGCTAGCACTTGTAAATCAACACTATCTCCGTTGTTTCAGATTCGTACCTCCTCAGCTCGTAATGTCCAGTATTGATCATTAATGTTTTCAAGCTTTTCATTTGGAGGGAAGACCTGCAGACAGGCAATAGTAGGATCGTACTGAATGGTAAATTTAATCAAGATTCCCAGATGATTTTTTTGGGAAACAATAATAAAATATAGCAATCCACAAGTCATCAATGCTCGTAATTTCATACCTTGTATATTTTGTGATAAAAGACTTCAAGTAAGCGAAGTTCAGCTTCAGGATCAGATAACTCTACCTGAGCACAATTGTAATAAGTAGGCTTGATAAATAGAAATAAAGTATAATGTCATCTATGAGTTATTGATGGATGAAAAGTTGGCAGCTTTATTAGGAAAACTCGGTATTTGCCCTACATTGCAGTCCAAACCAAAGTTGTGAAAAGCAAACCGACCAAGATCAGTGGCTAGATCAGAATGCATTTACGAAAACAATGACCAGGTCAAGTTGATGGAGGTTATTTTTCAAAAAGAAAAACATCAAATATATTGTTGATGTTAAACATGGAGTAGAATTGTCAAATTATGTTAAGCATATATATCGATATAGATAGATATATATATCCAAGACCTAGTAATCTGACAACTAACCCAGCACCTCGACCATAAACCCAGTGTCTCAACCGGATCAACAACTATGCTGGCTTAACAACACTAGTCCCAACGTATATGGTTGGCCCCCTTACTATATATGGTTGTGATGTGGAATATCCAATATTGATTCAGTTGACCAACCTATTTCCCTTTCGACTTTAGAAGAAGCCACATGTGATAGTTGTGTGCATTTGTGAATTATGACCATAATCTTCTGTACATAGCCAAGTAATTGAATCAAAGCTTAAAAATTTCACCTTTGTTTTAAGATCATCAAGGACATCCCCAACAGTACTCTGCTTTGGAAGTCGGATAGTATGACTGAACACCTGACAAAAATATATAAACTGCTGTGAGAGGAAGGAAAAACTACTTAAAAAGGGAAGAGAAATCTGTTCAGCATACTCACTTCATCCTTAGTGGCAAATGCAACTTTCAGAGTTTTCAACCCTTGTAATTCTGGTAGAGGGATGTCAAGTACTTCATAGTATAATATATCTGACGTCTGACATAAAAGAACGGAATAAGATCTATTGTGTTTTCAAGAACAAATATTATGATTAATTTAACAATAACTACCTGATTGTAATGAACTAACATATCAGACAAATGTTCTACTCCTCTGTATTTAATAGGCTGGGTTTGGGTTGTTGAGAGTAGCAGTTGTGTGGTGTCAGCCGTATTTTGGACGGGTCATCCAAACCAAGTTGTTGGGCTACTCTCTCCACTACATCATCGTAAGTATAAAGCCTTGACCTAGAAATAGTAAATGCAAGAGCATTAATGCATAACAATATAAATAACTTCATCCGCACTTCAATAAAATAGAAAAATATTATATAACTTTACAATTTGACCCAATAAGCTGCCAGGATGCTTACATCTCCAAGAAAAAGTCATCTTCTTTAGGTCTATCGAGAGATTGAAAGTGAACCACCTTAGAATATAAAAAATATACAAGCAACTTTAGGTCTTATTTAAATATTATCATGAAATTTGCTAGATTAATTAATTGCATAAACAGATATGCACAAGCACCAGCATGTAGTGAAAAGAGGGCAAGAGAAATCTACCTAAAACATGACTGCATTTTGGAAAGTTTCATGTCCGCATCACCAAAAACCAAACAAATTTGCATGAAGTAACCTAAAACAAGGATGTACCTGGCGATTATGCACATATTCTAAATATGAGGGCACATCCGGATAACGGATATTTTCCTCAGTGTCCAAAGAAGAAGCCTTCTGAAAGCATATGATATCACCATCTTCCAGCTTCAAAAAATAGATTATAAACTAATAAACAAAATTGATTAATCTGGCTTTTCAATGTGGCAATCATTGCATGGAATAGTGGACTACAACGAGCTTCAAAACATTACTATAAACATTCCGAAACAAACATGATTGGCCGGAATCTTTTCAATGATTATTCTCATACTAGATTTCATTCCGAAGGAGGCCAGACAATAATTTTTACAATAAAGTTGTCCAAAAACATTTGACCTTCTTACGCATTCTCGATTGCCACATCTTGGCAACTCCATGCCACTTACCACTGAAGGAGGCATCACCTGTTCCCATCACCAGAATAGGCAATTGTCTGCCATAATTTGCTAAAATTAAGAGTTTTTTTTTTTCTTTTGTATGCACTCAACTTTAATGGTTAGTGTCAGAAATCAAATAGTATTTTAGGAAAGAATAAATTAGGAAATTTATAATTGGTACAAATTCGAATAATTAGTAACAATCCCATAAATCAATAAATTCTAGAATAAAATAGAGTTATTATATTTCCTAAAATAGATTAGGTACATATCTTGTATGATCTCTTTGTATTAAAATAATAAAATCAGATTTTTATTTATCTAATTTTCTAAATGGTATCAGAGCTTCCGATCTAGGAAGTTCTGTCTGCGCACTAAAAACCCTAAGACGACAGTCTGCGTTGCTGCTGCATCACACTTTCTTACTATAATGTCAAGGGAAGAGGAAGTTGTGAACCCAACCCCAGAAATAGGGAATACCCAATCCCAACAATTTGGAGAACGGCAAAATATTCATTCTGCATATAGGCTAAATGGAAGAAACTATTTGAAGTGAGCCCAACTTGTGTTGAGAATTTTTTAGGATTTTGTATATATGTATTTCGATATATCATGTGGGTATATTTTTATTCATGTACTCTATGTATATATAGAGTAAAAATATTACAAAATATCAAATATTCATAATATCTCAATCATAACTCGCCTAAATCAAAATGTTAACATAATATTTGTTTAGCTTCTTCCTTAAAAGATAATAAAATCTCTTAATACCTAATTTAAATAAAAGATAATAAAGTAACATTCTCAACTTTCTTCCTTACTTTAATATCTATTTATTTGAATTTGATAATTTTTTCTTTTTCTTTTATTTTTCTTATAATTTTTCCTCCTTTTTTGTTTGTATTTCTTGTATGAGATCACATCTTCATTCAACTTCACTTTCTTCATCAACATATTTCTTCCTTTATCAACTTCATCTCCTTTGTTTCTTTCAAACTTCTTCGTGGTAGTACCGTTGATCTTTGATGGACGTTGAAAATTGTTTCTTCATCTAACTCTTTATTTTCCTCCTTAACATCACGTTCCTTCAAGAAATCTTCTTCATGATTTTTTTTTTACTTTTCTTTTATATCGTCGTTTGTAATCAACTCTTCTTTCATCAAATCTAAAGTGACACTTTTTCCTTTCATGTGAACTTTAAATATTTCCAATTTATTTGTATCTTTAATCACACAAAGTTTGTGTTCAAAAGACACCTTATAATTTTTCCCCAGTAATTGAGCAACACTTAACAAATTATGATTAATATCAGGAACATATAAAACATCAAAAATCAATTTGATAAACAAATTACTTTTAACTGCAATTGTTCTCGTACCTTTCACATCCATTTGTTCTCCATTACCGATTCTCACTTTAGAAATACCTGATTCGTTGAACTCTTTGAAAAGTTCTCAATCATGAGTCATGTGGTTTGTACAACCACTGTCTATAAGCCAACTTGTGGATTTGTTATTTGTAGAGCATGTTGATGCAAGGGGAAGTACCCTTTCTACTCTATCCTCTATAACTTGAACGACTTCCTCTGATTGTGATTTGCATATCTTTTCTATATGTCCCAATTGACCACATTTGTGACATTTCACATCAGGTGTCCACCAACACTTGTTGAGTGTGTGATTATTTTTCTTGCAATAAGGACAAATAGAAAAGACTTGTGATTTTGTACCTTTATTATTCTTGGCTTGGAGAGAACCTCCATCATGATATAGTAAATAACCTTCACCAGCAGCATGTTCTCCTCTCATCAATCTTCGTTGCTCTTGCGCTTGTAAAGCATGAAACACTTTGTTAAGTGGTAAAAAGTTGATATAATTATGTCTTGAATTGTTATGAAATCACTTAACTTATGTTAATTCTAATATATTTTTCTCCCAATATAGGATGAATTCGAGAATACCTTGATACAAGAGTAAGGAGCACAATTGTCAGCATAATTGGAGTAAAATTAAAAGAAAGAAGAACGCTTAAGTGAATGAAATATGTGAGGCCCGACCCAAATTCTCTTATAAAAAGATAAGTTGTATTTTGAGAAAAAGAAGCAGTTTTGGAGAAGAGGAGGCACGACTACTGTTAGGGTTTCGTCTAATCTTCATCAATTCTTCACTTCTTCATCAATTGGAGCATTGTAATGGCCAACATGAGTGACTAACTTCATTCTCTGAGGATTCGGTGCACTTCCTTTGAACTCTTTTGTATCGTGGTGATATTTTGAGATATTAATCTATGATTTGATGTTGTTATTCTTATCTTTTATGCTTTGAAATGATTTATTCTTGATGTTTGGGGTATGATTGGAAAATATATCTTGAACCCTAGATCACGGTAAGAATATTTGTTACATTAATTTCCAGGAATGGAATGAATGTATCAATTGCTTAACACCCTAACCCTAATGCTGGAAAATCTCTTAATTGTGTGAGGAATCAACATTTATTAGGTTTTCGTATGAATTTCATGTGTGAGGAATCAACATGGATGATTTGAGTAGGTGGCATCAACATTGTTAGGTTAATTGACGTTCTTAATTGACATAGCCATTACAAAAGGGGGATAAGGAAGGAAGTCAATCCTAAGTACCTTTAATTGATATTTTCTCAACAATTTATAGTTCTTTGTTATTTAATTTCAATTCAACTCTTATTTGCAAAACCCAATCTGTTTAATCTACTTAGTAAGCATAATTGGGAATTTTCATTGAAACTGTTTCTCGTGGGATCGACTTCTATTTAATTGAAATACTATACTGCGATTGATAATTTTGGTACGCTTGCCAATAAGTCAACAAGTATTTATGGTGCCGTTGCCGGTGAACGATGTTCTTTGAGAATTCTTTGTTTAGCTTAATGAGTATTTTATTTTTATTTTTGTTTTTGTTTTTTATTATTATTATTTAGTTTGTAGTTTGTGCTAATATTTACTTGAGTTACTCTTTTGATTTATACGTTTAAGAGGACAGGTATATTCAGAGTAGTTAGAATTTAATCCAGAGATTGAAAAAACAGCTTGGAGGAATCGGGGTAGAAGAAGAAGGGAAACTCAAGAACAAGCTACAAGAGAATCTGCTAATTCTTCTTTCACACTTGATTTACCAGACCCAATTATAGAAGATATGGCGGAAGAAGGAGCAAATCTGAATTCGAACCCATATCCAAATATAAATCCAAATCAAAACCCAAATTCAAATCCACCTAGAAGAACTCTTAGAAATTGTGCTATGCAACAAGGTCCAAGGCATTTTTCCAGCATTGTCATTCCGGATGATCATACATTGCAGATGAATCCATCCTTCTTAAGCTTGATTAGTGCTCATCAATTCACTGGATTGGATCATGAAGATCCTTATATTCATTTGTCTACTTTTTATGAGTTGATTAATACCATGGGATTTAGAGCAGCAAATCTTGAATCTACATATTTGATATTATTTCCTTTTTCTTTGGCAGGTAGGGGCAAAGGAGTGGCTGAAAGCACATCCTAATCAGAGTTTGACTAATTGGAGTAGTATAGAAGAAAAGTTTCTGAATAGATTTTTCCCACCATCCCGTTACATCAAAGCAAAATCTGACATCACTTCTTTGTGAAACATGGGAGAAATTTAAATCATTGTTGAGAAGATACCCAAATCATGGATTTGATGACGTTTCTTAGTTGAATATTTTTATACTGGGTTGTGACATGATGCAAATATGTTATTAGAGGCTACAGCAGGAGGGTCCATATTGGATGTAGAAATTGATCATGCCACAAGAATTATTGATGCACTAGCTTTTACAGACCAACAGGCTCAACATGATAGACATCCAATTCAAAGGAAGGGAGTCCTTAAACTTAACACCATAGATGCTCTCTTAGCCCAGAATAAAATTTTGACCCAACAAATTGAAGCATTGAACCAGAAAATAGAGAAATTACCTTAACAAATGCACACAGTACAATCTATTCCTAATCAACAGATGAGTTGTGACATGTGTGGAGGTGATCATTCAAATGAACAATGCTCTTATCAAGGCAACATTCAGCAAGAAGAAGCTAATTATATGGGGGCCTAAGGTAGTAGTCAAGGCAGACAAGGCAATTTTCCTAATCCCAATAATTATTAGAATAATTTTGCACAAGGATGGAGAGGGAATCAAAATCAGAATCAGAATTTTGGGTGGAACCAAGGTGTTAGCTCATCTACTATACAACCTGCATTTCAACAACAGTCATATCAGCAACCCCCATATCAACAACAACAACAACATTATCCTTCAGTGCCTGAAAGAATAATTAAATTGGAGGATACTTTAGAAAAATTCATGCAAGGCACTATGGCTAATCAAAAAAATACTGAGGCTTCATTCAGAAATATAGAGATCCAGATAGGCCAACTAGCTAAGCAATTATCTGAGCAGCAACAAGGAGGACAGTTTTCAGCTAACACACAAACCAACCCCAGGAAGCAATGCAATTCAATAACTACATGGAGTGGTAAGGTTATAGGAGAAGGTATTGGTGACAATCTGGCTGTAGAGAAGGAAATCCTACAAGAAAAAGAAGATGAGTGTGAAGGAGAAAAAGAGAAAAATAAAAGTGAGAGTATAGAAAAAGAAAAAAATACTGAAAAAGAAAAGAAAAATAAAAAGAGTAAGAAAAAGAGGGAGAAAGATGATAGTCAAATACCACAATTAAAGGATTTATCATATCCTCGTCATCCTTCCAAGAAAGATAAAGAAAGACAGTTTGCAAGATTCATGGATATTTTCAAGCATTTACAGATTAATATTCCATTTATGGAAGCTATGGAGCAGATGCCGACTTATGCAAAATTCATGAAAGAGTTGTTAACTAAGAAAAAGAGATTTACTATAGAAACAGTGGAGCTAGAAGCAAGATGCAATGCTATAATTCAGAAATCATTGCCTTAAAAGTCCAAGGATCCTGGCAGTTTCACTATACCAGTCGCAATTGGGACATTACAAGTAGGTAAAA